CTTGGAAGTCAAGTAACTTTCACAGATAAATTTCAGTGTCCTCAGATGACCTGTAACTTGCAAGAACCATAACTTGAGTTCTATAAACCTCCTTGATTCCTTCCACCACTCAAATTAAAGGTCTTGAGATGCTCTACAATTTTCATGTTGGCCAAGGATCCATTTGAGACTTGCATTTTGAATTATTTTGCTGGGAAGTTTGACCTAAATCAGGGAATTTTACTTAGAACCCTAATTTATAAACTTCTCTTCTTCTTGATTTCTTTTGATTTCTCCTTGGCACAACACCACATCCATATCCACATATCAAATGATGAATCCCACATCCTTCCAATAGGCCTTGATTCCTTTCAATCAATCATTAGACCTAGGGTTGACCTAGGGTTGACTAGGTGAGACCCTAGTTGACTGTCTTCAACTGTAGCTCTTGTCACCACACCAATGACTTGTCTCACTTTCAAAATGACCCTCTAGGTCTCTCATGATGTCTACACACATTCCATGCCTCAGTCCACAGCTCACAACCTCTATGGTGATCTTCAAATACTCCCCAGATAGGCTATAAATCCACTGCTTGATCTGTTAACTTCTCAAAGCTTTACCTTCTTTCTTGGTGACTTGAATAGGCTTGAATCTTGATAAGAACCTTTTGAATACACTCCTTGAGATGAAAAATAGCACTTGATCCCTTGTTGGATGACTTGCCCATGCTATGCTATGCAAATGAATGAACTATGTATATGATCTACTATGCAAATGATAAAGCTATGAAAACACAAATTAGGTAAAACAAGTTGGTCAAATTTTAGGGTGCAACAAATAGGTGTAAAAGGCAGCAAGACAGAATGAGCACATTTTACATCAGATATTCAACACATCAGCAGTGTATATAGTAGTATGCAAAGCATCAAATAAGCGTCAAGCATAGATGAATATGTGACATCACAACATCAAGTTAAGCATGCATCAAAGATTAAACAATCAACAATGAACATTTTCAACAACCAAGCATAAACATGCATAAAAAAGAAATGACGGACATGCCTCCGTGTTTAAACAAATGCACATGAATTGCAAGGATCAAGTATGAACATGTATCAAGTAAAATCAATTGATGAACATGTATCAACAATTAGGCATGAGAAAGTTTCAACCACATTGCACACTTGAGCATTCAACCAAAAACAATATGAATATTCATCAACAATCAAGCATTTCAAACAAACGTGCATTTGCGGAATCGAAAGCAAACATGAGCATGTATTATGAATTAAGAAAAATGAGCATGAAGAGCAAGCCAACAAGTACGAACAAGTAAGCCACGTGAAGAATGCATCAGAATTAGTCATGAACATGCATCATGAAAATCAATACACTGCGTATCGAAGAATCACATACATTCTACAAAATAAAGTGAAGCACAAGAAAATTCTACAAATATCTATCATTCAAAGCCATGAGGTTTAGAACTGAAAAGAAATCAAAACAAGCTTGATAAAGCACCAAAATCACTTTCAGCATCAGTGTTAATCGATTAACCATTTTTGTCATTAAGTTGGTTAACCTATTAACACTTTCAAAATAGCAACACAAGTGTTAATCGATTAACCAATTTTGCCTTTAAACTGGTTAATCTATTAACACTATAAAAAACAACATAAAATTCAGCATAAAAAGCATTTTTCGGCAACTTAATCACTTAATCTCCATATGTTAGAGCATGCAATTGATCATAAAAATTACATCAAATAACAACAATTAAACACCAATTGAACCTATCAAACAACAAGGTCAACAATTACATCAATCAATGGATCAATTCACATTAAAAATTAATGGATCTACATTGTAAAAGTTGTAAATAAGCTAGAATAAGCTTGGATCTAAGAATTTCAAACCTACAAAGCGGAGAATTGCTTTGGTAAATGTTGCAAACAAAATTTGATAGATCAAGCACAAAAAATACAAGATCCAATGAGCTCCTAGCAAGAAAATTGAAGATCTGCGAGAAAACGAACAAAACCGAAATTACTTCCAAAATCATTTCAAGAAAGCACTTCCAAAGCTTAGATCTAGATCCAAATTAAATTCTACTGCATAAGTTGTGTTGATGAAAGGAAATGGTGAAGGTTTAGCTATAGAATTAACAAATTCCAATGAAGAATTTGAAAATTCTAATGGAAGAGCTTTGGTTGAGGTTGAAGTTGAAAATGGATATTGAAAAAAGTGAGTGAGAGTTAAGAGAATTGGAATGTGAAATGTAGAAAAAAAAATTAGTGAAGTTGTGTGTGGTTTGGAGCAAATTAGTTTAAATAAACTCTAGGTTTGGGATGAAAGTGAGATTTGGAGTGTGGGTTTGAATGAGGATTGGTTTTTTGGTTTGGAATTAGGAATGGAATTCATTTGAATTATGGATGGAAAATGAAGTTAGTTTGGAAATTAACCAAATTTTGGAAGCATTCTAGATCCTTCTACTGATGTAAATCAAAGTGAAAATGATCCAAAACTGCTACAGTGCTGCAAAACTAAAAAACTAGGCAAAAATCACATGTGTTAATCGATTAACACTTTTACAGGAAAAAGTGGTTAATCGATTAACACATTCAAATTTTGAATTTTAGCGCCAAAAGGAGGGAAACTTGGAAAGTCAACTGTTGTCACTTGTTCTGAGCATGGTTATGCCTCTAAAGCTTGTTACTTGACATTGCACCAGAATAATGCTTGAAATAAGCTACAAATTTCCTCTTGCGCTCAAAATACCTTGCTGAAAAAAATATGATTCGGTCCCAAGTCCCTGAGCAAAATAAATGTTGAAGCCTCTGATGCTTGCTGCTTAAAAACTTAAAATAAAAAGGAGTCTCGAGCCATAAAAGCAATGTGATCCCATGTCTCAAGCTCTCAATGCAATGCATGATTAACTAATATGACCTAATGGAAATGCAGACGAAGGCGAAGCAAAAACCAATCATGGTCAGAAACGAGAGGGCAAACTTTAGGGTTTAACAGCTGCCCATATTCAATCGACTTAAACCTGAAGGGATGATAGCAGCGGCTTTCAGACATTCAAGGTAGAAGGAGATTGAATATAAAAGAACCCATAAATTTTCACTATGTGTGGAAAGAAAAGGACGATTAGACATTAGTCTGGAATTGGATTTACAAAAAGGTTGGCCAGGAACCAAAAATGGTAGAATCAACGAACCTACGACCTGGAGTGAAGAGAAGTTGACTCTGTTAGGGAGGGAGAAGTCTTAGCAGCGGCTTTCAGACATTCAAGAAAAGTTGGCATGCTTTACGGATATCTACTCCCAACGGCTCTATAGTATATGATCTCTTTGAAGACTCAATGGTTAAATATGATACTCAATGGATCAAGATATTTTGGTGTATCTATCTTCAACGTCTCTTGTACTATGGAGAAAGCAAAGACACTTGATCAAGTTATCTCTCCAACAACTAGTCTTCTACAAATTCTATATAAGTAGCTGAAGGTTCAAAGTGAATCTTTAACAAGGATCAACCTGATGGAGAAGTAACAAGATCAACAATTATCAACACAAATGGCTATGCAGAATTTCTGTTGTAGGTTGTAATTGTAAAAGCCTTAAGATTTCTTACATATTGAATATCTTAGAAATCTTAAGAACTTTAGGTCTTTGTTATGGTGATTTCCTCATACCTTTGATATTTCTATCAAGTACACCTTGTTCTCTATTCAGCTGAACATGTTGTTTAGAAGTTTATATCAAAGTCTCTTGCTAAGTGATTGAGCGTAAAAGTCTCTAGTTGAAAAGCTTGAGCCAAGTAAGTCTCGTGTTATGTGCTTGAGCATTGAAAGTCATAATTTATGTTGATTAAGCAAGTGAAGTATTGGATTGTTAATATGAGTAAAAGAAGTCTTGAACCTGAAGGGTTTGAGCAGAAGTCTTGAGTTTGTGGAACTTGGGCAGAAGTCTTAAGTCTGTAGGGCTTAAGCAGGAACTCTTGAACCTAAGGGGTTTGAGAAGAAGTCTCAGTTCGTGGAACTATAGTAGAAGTCTTGGGCAAATGTGGCTTGAGAAGGAAGTCTCGGTTTATGGAACCTTGAGCATAAGTCTTGGGTAAGTGTGGCTTGAGGAAGAAGTCTTAGTTCGTGGAACCTTGAGCAAAAGTCTTGGGCCATTGTGGCTTGAGCAAGAAGTCTTGGGTCAGTATGACTTGAGAAAGGAAGTCTTGAACACTAAGGGTTTAAGCAAGAAGTATTGGGCCTAGGGTCTGAGCATTATAAATGTCATATGCAGAATGCATAAGCGATTGTAATCATGATTTGGTTATAGTAAAAATATCTTGTGAAGCAAGGGGATTGAACTACTCTCAATTAGGGCGAACCAATATAAATCTTTGTGTCTTCTGCTATTTTTTATTTGCTTCTGTTAATATTCTGCTGCTAAGTATAATCAGAATCTGAACACCAATTTAAATTCGGAACTCTTATCAAATGCAAATTATGAAAACAGAAAACACACTTCAACCCCCCATTTTTGTGTACTTTTCTCACTTTCAACCCACTTTACTTTTAAACTTTTGTTGGAGAATCGTCTTCCACATTTGTTCATTGCGAACAATGTTTTTATCCTAAATATGGTGGAGCATAAAACTCTAGTACACAAGACTGTACAATTACATTTTTTCTTGTCCTTACATACCACCGTACATCTGTTAGCATCATTTTTCTCAAACTTAACATCCATACCATTCGAAACATTTTGCTCTAAGATAACATCTTTGAACTGCTTCAATGAAGAAAACTCCATTCCAACCTTGAAAATAAAATCCTTACTTAAAGAATCTTCTATGTTGAACCTGATTACACACGGCCTTTCATTACAACCGTCATCATCACCTCCAATGTCCAGTTCATCAGTCATGTATGAATCTTCAATGACATGTTCTTTACCCATCTCTTTTGTGATAAAAATCTTCTTGTCTAGTTGAGTTAGGCCCTCATCAATAGCAATAGGTTAATTTTTAGGTTTTCCATCAAGCCCCTTATCAAACACTTCATTAAGTCTTTCTTCAAACCCTTTCACTCTCTCCTCCTCACTATCATTAAAGTGGACACCCCTCAAAGATTCATCACTAGAATCACTACTAGTTTCACTCAATCTGTCACAATCTTCATCACATTTCATCCCTTTTCCTTTCTCTAAAAACCTATCTATAAAGGTTTCCTCTCTTATAACTTTAGGTTCACAAAATATCTCAACTTCACACTTATTTCCTACAACATACATGGCTAACTCAAAAGCATTTTCATCATCTCTAAATGGTTTTAAGTATTGTTCAATGGATCCTTCATCATGTTTCCACCACATCTTAACATAACTTAAATCAAACTCAGGGTCAATGACTTTAACTAAGTCACATGCTTCAAAGAAAGACCAATAATCACGATCTTGACCATTAAAAACATATACTTCCTCACCCTCGTATCTTATGTTAGGGTCTTTTACAAAACAACCCTTTGAGTAAAACACAACCTTGAATTTATCCATTTTTCTGTTCAAAAATTTAACCTAGGTTTAAAATTTACCATAACTATGTTAAACTGATTTACCCAAAATTGTTCTAACATTGATACCAAAATTAGGTCAAACAAATTTATCAAAAAATAAACATTTACACGAATTGGTAATAATATGCAACATAGTAAATAAATTGGGACCACTGAGAAAACAACGAAGATGACAAAGCATAAGAAAATAGGGAACAAGGCAGCAATAAGTAACATTACTTGGGACCACTTCAGAGGATTACAAAGTTGTTTTTTGGGACCACTGCAAACAAGGATGCCAAACTTGTTTTGAGACCACTGCCAACGAAAATTTGTTCATTGAACACAATAAATACTTGTTCCTTGACCACAACAAAAACTTGTTTTAGGGTATAACACTCTTGTGAAATATTTGTGTGGTTTATCATTATCTCACTTATTGTTAACAACATAACGTTATCAACTATTGCACCGTGGCGAATTGACAAAGTACAAATCACACGTAAGTAAAATAAATTTCACACTTGGCATGATACGTCTGTTAGTTCCTGATTGGCAAGAATTTTGGTAAAACTTGGTGTAATCACAAAATGTCCTACAGGATATCGTGACATCTGTTTCTAAGGTTCTGCAGGTTGCTTTGTATGTTATAGCAGGACTTATGTCATGATGTCAAACATGATGTCCTGACTTTTATGAACAAAACATTCTGCATGAATGTGGTTGTTTTCTTGTGCAAACCTGTTGCACTAATCTGGTGTAAACCTGCGAGGATTTTGGTATTGTGCAAAGGCATTTTTGATTCACCTGTTGATTTCAGTAGAGTTATTATCAGAAGATTACATTGGAGATTTGAAGAGTGATTTGATTGGATCTGATTGATCAAATCAAATCTGTTTCATTTATGAAAATTATGAAGATTGATGTCTTTACTATCTGCTGTTACTTTTTCCATAGCCCAAGCCCGTCCAAGTATTTCTATTTAAAGATGAGCAAACCCTAGCCTTCAGATCAGAGAAGCTAGGGTTAAGTGCGTGCAATTGTGTTAGGTTTAGTACTCTAGCCTTCGTGTGTTTTAGTAATTTGTGAGCCATTCACTCATTGTCTTAATGTGTGAATTGGACTAAGTTCAATATTGTAATTTTTTCACTCAAAGCTTGTAAGCAAGAGTGTATTGTACTTGATTAAGCAAGATCAAGTTGTGTCTTTGAAGAGTGTCTTCTAAAAGTATTTTTATTTGTTGTTTTTATCACTGTTGTGATTGAGGGGGAGTGAGAGGTGTCTCTTATCTAGGAGTGTCCTAGGTAGAAATTGCAAGGGTAGATATTAGGTGAGAAGATGGTAAACTAGAGAGAGTCTACTATATATCTTCAAACTAATTCTACTTAGTGGATTTCCTTCCTGGCTTGGTAGCCCCTAGACGTAGGTGTGTTTTCACCGAACTGGGTTAACAATTGCTTGTGTCTCTTTACGCTTATTATATGATTATCTTTGTTCTTATTGATAACTTAACATATATTAGTGTCGGGAACATTGCCTTCGACATCTGATATCCGATACCAGAATTTCAATTGGTACCAGAGCAGGCATCCTGCTCTGGTTCTAGGTGAGATCTAGGGACGGTACTTTCTGGTACCTTGGATAAAGAATGAGGATTTGTAAACAGACGACCTGTTCTGGACGGAAGTAATTATGACTATTGGAAACCACAAATGGTTGCTTTCTTGAAATCTCTGGATAGTAAGGTCTGGAAAGCTGTCATAAAGGGATGGGAGCATCCTGTGATTATTGATAAAGATGGAAAGGCTACATCTAACTTGAAGCCTGAGGAAGAATGGACAAAGGAAGAGGATGAATTAGCTCTGGGCAACTCCAAAGCCTTGAATGCCTTGTTCAATGGAATTGATAGTAACATATTCAGATTGGTTAACAACTGTGAGGTAGCTAAACAAACCTAGGAGATACTGAGGATTACTCATGAAGGCACATCTAAGGTAAAGATGTCTAGACTTCAACTTCTGACTACTAAGTTTGAAAACCTGAGGATGAAAGATGATGAAAGAATACATGACTTTCATATGAATATTCTTGAAATAGCCAATGCTTCAAGTGCCCTAGGAAGAAAGATGACAAAAGTAAAATTGGTAAGAAAAATTCTCAGATCTCTTCCTAAGAGATTTGACATGAAAGTAACTGCTATAGAGGAAGCACAAGACATCTGTAAGATGAGAGTTGATGAAATTATTGGGTCTCTTTTAACCTTTGAAGTAGGAATAAGTGACAAAGTTGATAAGAAGAAAAGCATAGCCTTTGTGTCAAATACTGAAAGTAGAGAGGATGAAACAAATGAAGATACAAATGAAAGCTTGTCTAAAGCTATAGTACTTCTTGGAAGATAATTCAACAAGGTTATAAAAAGAATGGATATGAAGATAAGACCCAATGTCAAGAGCATCTCACATGACATCAATAGGCCCAATGATGCAGGAAGAAGAACCAGAACTGAAGAGAAACCCATAAATATCAAATGGATACAATGCCATGGGTGTGAAGGTTTTGGTCACATCAGATCTGAATGCCCAACCTATCTCAAGAAACAAAAAAAGGGTCTAGTTGTTTCTTGGACTGATGAAGATTCTGAAAGTGATGTTGAAGAAGAGTCTGCCAAACATGTAACTGCTTTGACTGGAAGATACTATTATGATGAAGACTCCAGTGAAGGTGAATTAACATTTAAAGAACTTGCAGCTTCCTACAAAGAGATGTGCCTGAGAAGTGAAGAGGTATGCCAACAGGGTGAAAAAAAAACAAAAACTCATCATTAAACTGAAGACTGAAAAGGAGGAACACCTTAAAATTATCAAAGAGTTGAATGATGAAGTTGCTAAACAGCCTGAAACTATCACTAAGTTAAATGATGAAGTTGATCAACTGACTTCCCAACTTGATCAAATGGGAAAGTCTGTTAGAATGATGAACAGTGGTACCTGTCGCACCTCGAAAAATCACGGAGACATTTCGGAGAAACGACCCTCGCGCGAAAGGCGCAGAAACGCGGTTCGACAGAGTCGCCACCGAACTTTATTTTTCCCGAATAAACGGGAGAGGAAAATATCGAGAAAACCTCTTAAAACGAAAGGATAGGAACAGGGCTGTCGCAACCAAGTTCCGGGTTCGGGAGTCGGTTACGCGAGGGGAAGGTATTAGCACCCCTCACGTCCGTTGTACTCAACGGGAACCTCTTAAGGTATTTTGTGGAGAGTGTTGTCTAGGTTTACTTGTTTTTCTTCTCGATAAAGGTGAATTGGTAGGGTATAAAGACGCTAAAGGGAAATGGATGGTTAGAGGATAGGGTGCTCGCCAAGGATTGGGGCCCTTGTGCCTACGTATGCTCATTCGGACGAGAATGAGAAATCAGAGCGTCGTAGTTCGCCTACGGGAAAGGATGAGAAAGGTGTAGACAGAATAATGGAGGAAGATAGAAGTGTGCTCGCCAAGATCATCGCAATCTTGTGCCTACGTATCTTATATTCAAGAATGAATAAAGAATCAGAGCGTCCATAGTTCGTGGTAACAACCACGAAAAGATGAGGTTGAATAGGTTGGAAGTTTTGAAATCGAAAGAATGAACTAATAACAACTCAAGGGCACGCCTCGAGAGTTACTCATTCGGATATTCAAAGAATGATAGATTCTAAGAATTATCCCTCTTTCGTAAGTTTAAAAAAGTGTTTTGTAAAGATTGGATCGAAAATGGAATGCGAGGAAAAAAGAGGTCGGTTTGAAGAAAGGGTTCGACGACGAGTCGAGGAATTGATTAGAAGATATAACCCACTTGACGACGTGTCAAGGGTTAGATGGTGAGAAACGATATTAGTCCCTAAGGGTGCCCCTAATATCGAAACCAGTAGGAATTGTGAAGTGTGTGCGAAATGTCGACGGTTGTGAATGCGGATGAGCACTCGACTTAGGAGAATGTTTGAAAATGTTTAGATTGAGTGAATAATAACTCAAGAGTGTGCCTCAAGAACTATTCACTCGAAGATCCAAGAAATGCTAGATTCCAAGAACCTCATTATTTCGGAGTTTTAATCGAAAAAATGTTTTGAAAAAGTCGAAAGATTGAATGAATAATAACTCAAGAGCGTGCCTCGAGAACTATTCATTCTAAGATCCAAGGAATGCTAGATCCCAAGAACCTCCTTCTTTCGGAGTTTTTAATCGAGAAAGATATTTTGAAATAATTTGAAGCGAATCAAGGATATGAAAAGAGTTTGCGGTATGACAAGTGAGAATGCGAGATTGGATTTGTAAAATGACAATTATTTAGTAAATAAGATGTCGGTCCCACAACTAATTAATCGGGGTATTATCGAGATGCTAGATCTCGACGAAACCTTTTTCATTCGGAAAATGTTTGGATGAACAACAGAAATATCACACGGAATGCCAGATTCCTATGATATTTCTATGTCCGAAAGAGTATATTTTAAAAAAAAAACGAAAAGTCGAACAATATATTATTTAAGGTGTACACCTCAATGATAATCATTCAAAAATCCAAGAAGTGCTAGACTTCAAGAATTTAATTTTTTTGTGACTTGATCGAAAAATAATTTAGTAATAAAAAATATTGAAATAGATTAGAGAAATTAATCATATTTTGAAATAGTTTATACCTTTAATCTATTCCAAATGATTTTAAAAATTCTCTGAAACTTTTCAACAAAACATTGTTTTTTTTTTGGAAAATAACTTAAATTGAAATATTTAATATCTTAATTGAAACTAAAAAAAACAACCGACGACATTTAGTATATATAAAAAAAAAACTTATAAAAGGATTTCACTAAAAATAGAAAATTATCCTAATCTTAGGGTATTATCATCATTAACTATAAACAATAATTGCCACCTATTATTAAAGAAAATTACTAATAAAACTCAAAATTAATTCGAAACACCTTATATTTTAAATACAGTATTTACAAAAAATAAAAC